GAGAGGATATGTACGGGTTTGAACAAGAGATGGAGAGAGTCAAGTGGAGATGGTAGTGTGTTGGAGAGTTAGTTAGTGTTTGGAACTTTTCTTGGTGATTTGGAAGGGTTGGTATGCGATCGATTATTTTCGGACGTATTGTTTTGGTGTTGGGATTTTGAATTTTGTCTTGGTTTTGACTGTGTTTTTGGGATGAACTGGTATGAGAAGGATGACTTTGATTTTTTGCCGGAGCATGACGATGCATACGAATACGGGGGCTATTCGATATACTCGTAGCATAGCATGGGGGTGGTATATTACGTATACATATGCGGGATTTGCGGTGACGAACTACGGAGGAACAAGAAGTTTCTTTATGTTTTCCTTGGGAGTGTGGTTGATTGATGGACATTCATGGAGATTCGTTTTGGGTGTTCGAGCGTTATGCGTGACTTGATGCCGNTTGAGGATTCATTTTGGGTGTTTGAGCGTTATGCGTGACTTGATGCCGTGATGGAATGACGAGCTCAAGCACGCCCCCGATTAATACAACACGTATACAACACGTTTGTTTGTCAACACGTCTGCACGTCTTTACCTACCCCTACGACCCGTCATGGCCGAGCTGCTCTACACTCCCATCACACACAACTGAGCCACCCGGACTATCGATCAGGGGGTGCATGTCCTCTACCTGTTTTTTTCAGGGGGGTGTCGGGTACTGGTTCGGGGTCGGGTCTATGTGTACTGCAGTCTCGAATTGTCCCCTCACTATAGCTACTGTGGATTTTCAGTATACAGCTATCCATACTCAACGCGTCTGGGTGTCCGGCAATCTCCAATACAAATCAACTTGTGAGGTTTCAGTATGCAGATTTCGTCGCTCAATGCGTCTACAAGTATGTGTCCGACAGTCGCAAACGTCACTTAACCCGTTAGGTCTCAATATGAAGCTATCCTCACTCAAAGCGTATGTGTTTGGCACTATCCAACCATCACTCAACTCGTGAGGTTTCAGTATGTAGCTATCCCCACTCAGCGCGTCTATGTGTCTGGCAAACTCAAAAACCAATCCATCTGTGAGGTTTCAGTATGCAGCTATTCCTCACTCAACACGTCTAGATGTCCGGCAATCTCCAATATTTATCACCTGTGAGGTTTCAGTATTTGTCTATCCTCGCTCAAAGCGTCTATGTCTTCGGCGTTATCATGACTCAACTCGTGAGGTTTCAGTATGTAGCTATCCCCACTCAGCGCGTCTA